ATCCATCCATCCCACACACACACACACACACACACACACACCCTTGTCCCTCGCGGGGTCGGGAGGATCTGCTGCCTCTCCAGCCAATGTTTCGGTGAGAGACTGAGTCACCTGGTCAGGTCACCAGTCCATCACTGACCCAGAATTCAGTTTCACCAAATTTCAACATTACATCAGAGCAACAAAGGGTTTTAATCCAGAAATGTGGACCTAGTGAACAATAAATCAGTCTTATATTTAGTCAACATTTCATAAAACTAAACAAAAAGCAGTGAAAACATATTTTCATCTCTGAAGTTGTCCTAAAAACAAGTTTACATGGTTAAACTTTCATGTTTTTTAATGATTTTCTTGCAAGTTTTAGACATAATCATAAAAACTAATTGAAAACAAATCAAATGAATAGTTAAAGCTGCATTCTGTTAATTTTATGAAAAATATGTTGTTTTTTAACATATTTCCTAAACCTATCACCAGGTTATGACAGTTTGAGACTGATAATCTGTGAAATCATTGATCTCCTTCCTGAGCTAGTATTGCCATCTAAAGAAATGCTGTAGCGCTGCAGAGAGCAAGGACAGGACTGAGAGGTGGGAGGGTAGCAGCAGCTGCATGTGCATGATGGACAGCGCTAAGATCCACCTCCTGGCTCCAATTGGTTGTTTCTAGTTAGCACTGGGAGAAAACAAATACTGTCATAACCTGTGCAGCTGTAATCACCAGGCCTTAGCAGAATTTGCTGACTCAGCTTTTTGATCCAGGTGTGTTGTAGATCGCCGTTCCAGCAGATTATTGGTTTATTTATCTCCTTCCATTTGTTTTGCTCAGTGAAGATGAAAGTGAGGGGACAGATGTGAAGTCAGACAATGGGCTGGATGACTTTCCTCCAAGCACAGGTGAGATCAGGTCACCTGTCTGTTTGCCATCATCATGTCTACCTTTGAATCAAACCCCCCGCTGTGCCTCCGGCAGGCCGTCAGCGAGGCGCCTGGTCTCTGGTGTGTGACACGGAGGAGCAGTGGATCAGCCTGGCGGAGAGCATCAAGGACAGAACGTCCCCACAGGACCGCCATCTTTACCGCGTCATCAGCCAGAACTTCCTGCCTGAGATCAGCACCATGATCGAGCACAAGGTCAGAGCTGGAAACATGTCGGCAACACTCACAGTTCCCTTACTGCAGGTTCCTCTGACAGAAACTCATCTGATCGTTATTTAGCTTCAGAGGCTGATAACTGAGAAGAATCTCTGCAGAACCTTATCTGAACAATTTACCCAAAGTCAGCAAGAAGCAGATCTGTTCAGATGTCCATCTCTTTCAAACCTAAATTAGTTTGAATTCACTTCAGAAAAATGCATTTCTATGTTTGTAGTTTTTCAGTGTTGATCTCTAAATTAGAGTACCACATACATAAATAAAATTTTAATGGAGCAGCATCATGTAAAATCTGCTTTTTTGTGCTTTACGACATCAAAAACAAACCTGGATTGCTGCTTTGATTCTTTTATGTTTGAAAATCCTTTATGGCAACCATTCAGCTTTCCCAAATGCCTGGGTGGACCTAGCTACGCCTCCCAGACTCAACTCCTTCAGACTAGCCAGCAGCAATTAGCAAACACCTGAAACTGCTGAGCTCGTTATAGGAACTGCGGCTCAGAGCAATACTGGTATAAACATTGTTAAATGGTTAATCAGAAAGGGCAGGAGTTTTAAAAGAGAGAGAGGCCCAAAATCAGAAGTCAAATTTGATATATACAGCATTATTACAACACCTGAAGGTAATATGGTTACTTGATTGTGCTATGAAATGGTACTAGTGCCTGTAAAACATGATGCTGGCCCTTTAAGGTTGCTGAAGCCTCTCCCTCCACATGTCAGCAGCCGTTTAACGGGTCTGGGTGGAGCTGACGATCCTGAGGACTCATCAGTGTTTCTGACTGAAATGAGTCAGAATTAAAGAGGCTGCTGCTCTGCTCATGGGCAGCATGGCTTTCCTTTTCCTTTCTTCTTCTTTCCACTGTTGTCATTTATCTCCTCCTTCTTTCCCACACACCTCCTTCTTCTTCTCTCTACTTTCCAGCTATGAATGCACACACACACACACACACACACACACACACACACACACACACACACACACACACACACACACACACACACTCTTGTCACACTATGCTTCCATTAGTTTGTACAGTCTAAGCCTGATCGCCCTCATTTTTTATTAATCAATTTAAGGCTTTTTGCACAACATTAGAAAGACATCAAAAATGGACATGAAGAAATATTTCATTTCCTTTTTTTATATAAGAAAACAAACATTTTATTGCTTAAAATGCTAGAATATCAATCCATTAGTTTTCGCTTGGTTAGGTGCAGCTAAAACGATTCTTCTAACAGGTGAAAAGCTCGACCCTTTCTGCTCAACTTAGCTTCAGTACAGTCTGGGACTGATCTGGGGATTATGTTTCAATTAATTATTGGAAAGCAAAATGTGCTTAATACGAGAGTTTTGTAGAATTTGAACCACGTTAAGCTAAAACTTCCACTTAAGGTGTTCTGGGTGGAACAGAAACGTTTATATTTGTACAGTTTTGACTTAGTTACTGCTCTGACTTGTTTTTAGAGTCTGTACTCCAGTTAAAAATTAATCGATTACTAATTTGGTTGGTTAGTTGGTTAAACAAGTACACACACACATCCACCCTTGGGTTCAGTTGACAACCTGACCAAGCGCAGGTGACAGTGGGCAGGAAAAACTCCCTTTAACAGGAAAACACCTGCAACTTTAACTTTACTTTGACTTGATGCTAGCCTTTCTGGCATCTTCCTACGCAAATCCACTTGAATCTCATCTCCCTTCAGTGCTCCGTCTGGCGTTTCTCCTATCGAGATCGATTTCTCCAGGTTTAATTTCATCCTGGCCAATCAGCAAACAGGAGGAGTTGTGATACTGAGCAGTTAAAGTCAGCGCAAAATGAATCTTCCCTGCCTGCGTTTTAGAAACAGAACTAAATCTGTGCTTTTCTTTTCTTTAGGAGCGAGAGCAGAAGCAGAAGTTACTGGACCCGGCGCCAGTCCGGACCTCGCAGTGGTTCTCTGAAAACCACATTAAACCTGAGAAAGAGGTGCGACTTTCACACATGGCGCATGGCGTGTTTTCCTGACGACGCAGAGTAAAACTCTCCTGTTTATGCCTGTAGGACAATCTGAAGGCCAGATCAGAGGAGGAGAGGCGGAAAGACGAAGAACTGGACCGGCAGGTTCTGCTGGCTGAGCAGCGCCGGGAAGAGGAGCGCCTCCTGCAGGAGGAGCAGCAGAGGGAGAAGCTGGAGAAGATGAAAGCTGTGGAGGGTGAGGCTGGGCGGGCGGAGCTGCTCTCTGCTCCAGATGTTTCTCCCAGCTGGACTCTACAGTTTCTGAGATAAACAGGGTTTGGTGGGAATTGTTGAACTTTTATCGTCTCACCAGCGACCTGCCAGCAGCAGGTGTGATCCTGTAGTAACAGACTTTTCACATCTCCTTTGCTGTGGTTTGCTCCCTGAGAGGCGAAGTGACTCTAGAAGCTTTATGATTTACAGACGGGATGGAAAAGCCTTTAATCAGAGGATCCTCTGCCTCTGATGTTTCCTGTCGGGGCTTAACGAACTGCTGATTGTTCTCCAGCGGAGGAACATCAGGGATGTTTCTATGGATGAGCAGCTATGGCAGGCAGTTTTAGCATAAGATTGATTTTGTCTGACCATCTGTAATTACAATGCAGATATCTAAGGTTGAGTTTCAGATAGATGCAACTGGGCCTCTCGCAATAAGCAATACATCAATTAGTCTCATTAATTAAAACAAGCTCAATAATTTCAGTTTGCATGATTTATTTTATTTATTTTTTCTTTTCTAGTGCAGGAAACCCAAAATACAGCAGGTAACTGTTTGGACAACTCAGTGACGTCGTCACAGGGCTTGAGCCCAATTTCTTAATTCAGATATCTAGAAATGTAATTTTTGGTGACCTCATCTTGAAAGAAATATTGACTAAGAAAAAAAGTGATTTAAGTCACCTTGAATTGTTCGTCTTACTAGTCAGAATGTAAATGCAGACATCTTGAATCATCATTCAAGTTAGTCAAAATACAGTCTCTGATCAAAACTCATGTTTAGATATCTGGAATGATTTTATGTTAAAACGACCTGCCATATGTTGTAAAGCCATCAAAGTTCCAGATATCTCTAATTCATTTGGAGATATCTTAAAAAGAATCATTACGAGTCAAAATTACAGTTCTGGATATCGCTAAGCTGGCTTTCCTGAGTCATTATTTACTTTCAAGATATCCACAATTTAATTTGCACCATTCTAATTTAAAAATACATTTAACATACTTTTAATTAAAAATTATGACTAGTCTACTAATCCGATCGTGATTCTATATATATATATACATATATATATATATATATATATATATATATATATATATATATTTTAACAGTAACACTTTATTTGAAGGGGGTTGAATAAGACTGACATGACACTGTCATAAACATGACATAACACCTGTCATGAACATGAATAAGCCTTCATGAATATTTATGACTGTTGTCATAAAGCGTCATTCGGTAAATTATGACACTTTTAATACAAAGTTGACATTATTCAAAATGTCTTTATTATGACAACTTGACATTAACCAAGAAATCATTACTGTTTAAACTTTACCTTTAATAACATAAAGTTACCTAATTTTTAAAGTGCGATCAGTAAAACTTTTATAACAAATTTATATCAGTAATGATTTCTTGGTTAATGTCAAGTTGTCATAACAACGGCATTTTGAATAATGTCAACTTTGTATTAAAAGTGTCATAATTTAACGAATGACGCTTTATGACAACTATTCATGAAGGCTTATTCATATTCATGACAGGTTTTTATGACAGTGTCATGTCAGTCTTATTCAACCCCCTTCAAATAAAGTGTTACCAAATGTTATAAATTCATGTATCTAAAATGAAGGCCTTAAAAATGTCTTAAATTTATAGAAAAATGTAAGTTG